ACTAGGCGCGCCCTAGTACATTGGGCGTACACTTGTGTATGTTGGACGTACTCATGTCAGAAGGAAACCCTAATATTTAGGGTTTGGGTGCTATATAAACATCTTTATGGCTCATTTCTCCCACCACTTTCAGCCTCCATACCCTAGAGACGTCCCAAACCCTAGCCTTGTGTGTGAGTGTGAGTTTGTGTGTGTTTTGAGCACTTGAAGGAGATGGTGTTGCACCAAATATTTGGAGAAGGAAGGCAAGCTTGAAGATCTGAAGTTCTCTAGTCCTCTAGAAGCTCCATGAGGTAAAAAACACTTCTACCTTGGCAATTATATTGAGTAGATCTTGTCTTGTTTAGCTTCTTGGCACTTTTCTTGTCCCAAAAACTCCCAATATTGTGCATGATGCATTTTGGACATGTTAAGCTGTCCTTCCAGGCCCTACAAAGGGTCCTAAGTGATAAAAATGATGTCTCAATAGTTAAATGTGTCCCATGCATGGAGTAGGAAGGTCTTAATGGGTTAAGACCATATATTAAGAACTTTATGGACTTCCAAAGTCTTAAAGTTCAAGACTTTATAAGTATTAGGCACATTTGGTCAATGGATCTAAAGTTTAGGCTTAAGTGCTTAAGCCATTAAGCACTTATGAGAGTTTTGGTATAGACTCGCGTACGCTCCGTGTAGAGAGCAGCCATGCATACCGAGTCAATGGTCCTGTTTTTCAGTCAACGTGAGACTTAGTACGCCCCGTGTACCAGAGGAGTACGCCCAACGTACGCCCCCTATTGGGCTTTTGCGACTTAGGCTTCGGGATTGGGCCAGACAGACTTTGGTCTTGTTGGACTCTCTGGATAAGAGTATTTTGGGCTAGTTTTGGTAGTGAATCTTTAAATAAGGCCCAATTAGGGAATTGGGCCCAATTTGGAAAATTAGGCCAATGATGGGCCTTGTATATGTGGACTTGTGGATCATGGATTTGGTATTGGGCCTTAGCCCAAATTAGAGAAAAGGCAAAATGTACTATTATTATATGTGGACTCTTTTTCAAGATTGATATTCCCGTTTATTGACTTATTATTCGTTATTTTGGATAATTCAGGATTTTTGGTGAGACAGTGATTCGGGAATTTGATTCTTCAATTCAGATCGACATTGTGGGTGAGTTATCCTCACTATACCCAAGGTTCTAAGGCACCAAGGCTGACCCTTTGAATTATTATTTGGATTATTTGCTATTATGATATGTTATATCGATATCCTGGTAGATAGGATGGTTATGCTTAGTGACTAGTAGCTTGGTCTGACTGTTTGTATGTTGGTAGGAGATTACCTGTTATATGTGCACATGATTGATTAGTAGTTGAGGGTATTCCATCCCGAGGATGATAGGACCCTAGTATGTTGTCTCTATAGACTGTTTTATGATTATCTGATATAGGTGCACGTGTTTGATTGGTTATAGGATCTCATTCATCACACAACTATAGGCTCTCAGTCATCCCGCAACCACACAGAAGCTGCTACTAATATTGACGGATCGTCTTATGAATACATAGTCATACATAACGAGGAAATAAAATAGACAGTCGAACAAATGATCTTACCTAAAAGAAATATATATTAGACAATAACCAAGCAATAAGGTCATATCAAGAGTTCTAAGGCTATCAGATTTACACTATGTACAACCTTACAACATTCATTCGACGATCTACCAATATTAATAATACCTCAACCAAACCAACATGCCATATATACTAACACAAAATTATCCTAGTCTATCACATAATTGTATACTAACATAACACAATCATTCTATCATACATTAGATATCTAATGTAACACATAGTATAGTGAAAAAAACTCACTTAAGTCTAATAGCAGAATCGCAAAACTGCTCTGCAACGAAATAGCTAGCACATACCACCTATCACCAAACCTCAGTTAAATCCTCTAATCCACCAAAGTTTGGCAAAAGGTCAAACTAGTCAAAAAGTCAACAGCCACAATCAAAAGGCCCAACGTGTCACAACCCAGCTCTTGGTCGTGTCGAGATCACTAGGCAAAAAGATAGCCATTAACCCAGTCCAATATTTATGTTGCGGCACTTCCTTGGTCATGTCACACATTTCGAGGCAGAGTCATCCTTTTTATTAAGAACTTAATCCCTTAAGATAAAAGATCATATTTTCCAAAATACCTTGAAGTATGCTCTTAGTGGATAAAGTTTCCAACTTTATCCATTTGCATGCCATAAATACAATAAACTTTAGACCTAGTTCTAAAATGAGTCCAAAGTGCCACAAACTTCATACATGGATCAAAATGAAAGGAGATACTTCTTTTCACCACAAAGGTTCTAGAAAAGCATCACAAAATAATCTTTGCACCTGGAGTTGTCCAGACTCCATAGAAATCATGACAAAAGATACCAACTAAGCTCAAAATCCTAGATCTAGCATGCAACAACCACAAAGTTCAGAACTTGAATACTTACAAAGCACATGGATGAGGTAAAGAAGCTTGCATTCGCTGGATCTAGCATTTGGTGTACCGAAACTTCTTTTCTTCTTATTCAAGCTTCACCAAAAGCACTAAGAACACCAAAATTAGATGATAGATGTTGGGGTTTCAAGTTTTAGGGTTTATGGGGATGGAGGTTGAGTAAATAGGGAAGCCCTAGAAGTTAAAGCTCTTAAATAGGGATCGAACCCAAGATTAAGGTTTGGACTGATTGTGGCTACGCCCCGCGACCCTCACTTAGTCATGTTGTGACTTATGACGTAGCACGTGCCACAACGTTCCATTACACGCATCATAAACTATGGTTTTTTCCCAAAACCCTCTTCTCAATTTCCTTTAAACATTTCCTATAAAAACATTTGAAAAACAGACGTTACAGACTTGAGAACTAAAACCAGGTCCGCAAACCAAAATTGATTACAAGATCGAAGAACCCTCTTGGAATAACTCATTATCTAACTTAATTCCCCATTCAAGGGCCAATACGTCTAAATGTACCACCGTACATACAATATTGGAGAATTGTCTTATCTGTCATAGTTTACATATCATTATTTCAATCCTTATCCCCCATAGCATCAATCATACCCCTAACTTAGCTACTTCTAACAACTACATCATCTTCCCCACCCAAGTTTGGATGACGTTAACCAACACTACTACCAATATTAAAGAGCCTTATTCGCCTTATGGAGAGCGAAGATAAAACATTGTCAACTACCTTTTAGGACTTTCCTCCTAACTAAAAAGTCATATAACGACTTAAGGTTCTAGTGCACATACTTTCTTACTCTATTGTTTGGACCATTCAAGTTTAGGCTAAAAATCATACGTCTATGCAGAATCAGAGACTTCAAACACATATAGGAAATTTCATATAGTGAGGAAAGTTCACCAACAATCCACAAGCTTCTTAGTTGCAGACAATGCAAACAAAAGAACTCAATAATATTCACAAGGTTAAACACATGAATATTATAGGCCTCTAGTAGGTAAGGTAGACATCATGGTTGTAGTACCATCCATGTGTCGGAAATTATAGTGCTTAAAGGAATAAGCCATGATAATATTTAAAGTTTAGGAAGTTAAAAAACTACATCCAAAAGATGAAAATAAAAAGCCCTAGGAATTCACCTTAATGAGACAAAGAGAGACCCACCTAACATAGTTCTGTAGAGATTCTAGCAACCCAATATTTATTATCAAGGGAGAAGTGGGACCTAACTGCCCATATCTGCAATAGTACAATTACACAAGAAAGTTGCATTCCTCAACCATAGATCAGATAAATTATCCTCGTCCTTGGAATGGTGGATGATGTCCACTTCCACTGGGATATATATACATAATGGGAGCTATCGCAAGTAATTTAAAAGCATTATTTCCAATATTTCCCAAAAGCCGTAAAAACAAAGCTCAAGCCTCTTGAGGCTCCAAATGTCAGTTTTTCATGACACTCACTTTGGCTCAAAGACACCATTATTCCCCAACTCACGGTGAAAGATTATTAATGAAAGGTCATGAAGATTGTATATGTCAAGTTTGTTGTGGTTCCAACAATTTCACTATACAATATATCATCCTTGGGTGAACTGGAATAAAAATTTACAAAGTCATCTTCATGGAGTGGTCAAATTCACCACACTCACTAGACCAAGCATTATCATATGGATTCCATTAGACATCCCACATTGCAACCATAAAATGAACCTAGATGAGATAGACCAAGGTCAGAAGCACATCACATGGATCCTATCCAAGAAGAGAAAAAGAGAAGAGGTTAACTAATAAGAAATATCATGATCAACCAATTAAGGTAGGATCCTAGCTGCCCCTAGTACTTAAGAGAGAACTCCAAAGGCTCCTACGGAATAATATAGACATCTTTACATGGAATGCATATGGCATAGCATAAACTCAACCTTACCCTAGATATCAAACCCACAAAGAAAAAAGTAAAGCATGTAATCTAGAAGAAAAGCATGACGATTACTGAAGAGATTGAAGAGATGGCTAGAGTTGGGATCTTAAGGGTGTCTTCCTTCCTTGCGTGGCTCGCAAATACAATCCTAGTTAAGAAAGGTGGATGGTCTTAACACATGTGTGGACTATGAAGACCTTAACAAGGCTCCTATTAAAGATTGCTAAACCATGCCAAAAAATTGACCAAAAATTGCCCCTAGAAAGGTTATGATGAAAAATCTTTCATGATCCATATAAGGGATATCACCAAATTCATACAGCTAAAACTGATGAGGACAACACATCCTTCCACACTAATCGAAGCATTTTTTTTTTTTCTATGAAAATGGCATCAACAATGTAGGAGCTATCTATTGATCTATGGTGCACAAAGTGCTCAAAGACCATATAAGGAAAAACATTGAGGTATATAGGGACAACATGGTAATACAAATCATAAGGGATGATACATTCATTAGTGACATTAAGGAGAACAAGGTGACAACGTTACTTTATTTTTGTCCCACCAAAAAAACATAGAACAAGGCGATATAGGGACTCGCTCTATCAATATTTGTTATATTCAAAATAAATACCCTCGCATCCTTATCATAACAAATATCCCTACAAAGTTTGTAGGGTACGAATCAACACTTCACATTGATATCGGATCCCATCCCCAATAACAACCACAACCAAAAAAAAATAATCAACCAACACAACACAACACAACATAACACAACATTTAAAGACAAGATATATCTTACTTTAACCCCATGAATCTTACATAACAACAACTCATATACGCCATATAACACGAGCATAATCACATAAATGCCCTCACACTTGAGAACCGAATGTTCGCAAAAAGTGGATTCTTTTAGCTTTTACTGTTCTTTCCATATACGACCTATAACTCTTAACTTGAGCTCTTTCCTGTTTCCACCTGAGAAAAAAAGCGCGAGTTTCCTGGGAATGATTAAACCATCTTGACTGTCGCGAATTTTCTGGTGACTGTCGCGAATACTCCGTGGGACCCCTTGCCATGTTAATTTACGTCCATACCCTCCTACTTCAAGTGAGTAGCTGAAACTTTTGGCTTCATTGTCCTCACCAATGAACCTTAAGAATGATATGTAAACAGGAGCCATTCCCAACTGAAATGCTTCAAAGTGCAAACAGAATTGTCTTCCATAACAATTAAACACCTACACATTTCATTATATCTCTATTTAGTTACTACTTTTTTTTTCATTATGGAATCTTACTTTCATTTCTTCCTATTACAATGAATAGACATAAAATATAACAACTTACAGTTAGCATCCATGTTGCATTTTCAACTTCATGTGGATTGGATTTCACATATCGATGATTGAATGTGCATCCATCATGCATGTCTACATTGTGATCATTTTTCAAATGTGCAACAAGATTTGAAATGTCACCTGTGACCGAGCATTTGGATCCAGCATAAGGACAATTGTAAGGGCGAAATCGGCAATTTTGCTCGTGCTTAAGTTTGTTATAATAAGGGAAAATATCATGGCATCCATGGCGACATGGAAGCTCCAAAGATTCTGCTACTTTCTCCAAAGCCAAACACCTTATGTTTCCAAGCTCAGAATCACATGATGGACAACAATTATGAACTTTTGATTTGCAGTTTGAGCACAAAGTATGGCCATTTGGACACTACATGATCAAAAAGTTAGCAACTTTTTTAATCTTTTAACAAATCAACAAGTAAAAGAAATATAACAAACCTGATGAATTGGAGGATACATTAACTTTGTGCACATGGGGCATTCAAGAAGCTCATACACCACATTAGTTGAAGGCATTGTATGCTTTTCGTTTCCTCTACTTTTTTTTGTGATGTTTATGCTTTTATCTCCTACATCATGCCTCAAAATTTTGGGATCAGACTCAATAACCTCTTTGCAAACACCACCTCGAGTCATTCTATATTAATGGATTTTAGTGCAAACGGTTGTTGTAGTACTTAAAGCATGATGAAAAACCGGAAGTTTTTGCTCTCTTTAAAGTTTAACCACTGTTGTTAGCAACATCTGTCAAATATAACACACATAAAGGGAAGTTTTAGAACATCTTTTTATGAGTTTTATGATGGAATCTAAAAGTACATTATATCATGTGACAAAAGACCCTTTAACATTAAAGAAAAGGGTGATGTGATAAGTTGGAACAGAAATAAGTCAATAACTAGCAGAAAAACGATAGCCCAACAACTATTAATATCAAAAGATGAAACCTAACGGAAACAACAGGCATAAAATTGATGGCTCAACAATAGTTTTATCCAAACATGAAACTAATCAGCATCTAACCACCAAATATTCTGCATTTGGCAAGACACCAAGAAAGTAGGCAAAAATGAAAGGAATCTGATTCTTTCCATGAACAAAGTCACAGAGTCACGAATTTGAGATCAATCAAGTTCCATAAGAGGAATACAAGGACATGAATTTCGTTTTAGAATCAGTGAAAATCTTCGAAAAAAAACCCTGAATGGACATGCTTTTGAGTTTTGAGAGACGCTTATCCAGTTGAGTAGCGAATTTGCTTTTAAATAAACATCAAACGAACCCTAAACATAGAAAGAATCTAAAAATTTTGTAATCGGTTTTCGAAATTGAAGAATTGGGATTTTCTTTTTCCGACTACCTGATCAAATGCACATCTGAATGATCAAGCATAAAGGGTAAGGCAGTGAACCGACACTAAATACCCTTTTCACAATGCTAATAATTATAATAAATTAGAAAATAATATCCGTTTGAGTTTTGACATTCGCAATTTCATACGCAATCTCAAATCCCATAACTTTATGACCTTTTATCTGCCTTCGAGATACCGACGATCAATTCCAGAAAAACCCGATACGAAAAACGAAATTAAATAGCTAAACGATGGAAAATACAATTAGAAACAAGGAACCAAGAATCAAAAACACGAAACGAGCGAAAAGAGGGAGATACCAGTTGCGATTATCAAGCACATTGTCCGAACGTATAATCTAATGAACCAGTAAAATCAAGATTTTGATGGAAAGTAAAGGGAACAAAATGAGCAAGAGATGGAAGAAAAAACAAAGTCATGTCCGGAAACGACGCATATTACCCGCATACAGTAGAAAGTTCAGAGGCAAGAGTCACCATTTTGTTTTTCTGTCTCCATCTATCAAATCTTTAAAATACGAGCCCTAATATATAAAACATAATTTTCTTTAGGTATTTTGTACGTGGCAATTAATATTCTATATTTAAATTGGTTTGAAAAGATAGATAAATTTACAAAAATGATCCCTGTGCTTTTCAAAAATATGTGATTTTAATCAAAAAAAATTTGATGGTGCATGAGTGGTTCAATTTTAGATATCTTGTGTGGTTTTGGTTCCTATGGTTTGCATTTATTTTTATTTTGGTCCATATCCTACTTGAAATGACAAATATATCCTTTACTAATACTTTTTTAGTTTTTTTTAATAATTTTCTTACTATTTTAATTAAGAAAACGAAAAAGGAATATCACACCCCACTTCTCACCAACCTACCCACCTTCTTTCTCTCTTCCCTATTTCCGATCAACACCTCTCTCCATCTCACATTCTCTTCATTGTTGCCGACCACCACCACATGTCGGACCATTATCGTCTGTCGGACACCACCACCACCTTCAGGCTTCATCAATACACGCTCTAACTCGGTCGATCTTCACTGCCATCGATCTGCATCATCAAAAGCTGGCTCCATCACCGCCATCGATCCGCCATTATTTGTCCTTACCGGATTCCTTCCGCCACTTCCACACCCACGAACATAAACACACTTTATTTTCTTGGATTTCTAGTATGAAATATGGCTTGGAGTTTTTGATTTTGTTATTAGTTTGAAGGCATTTATGGGGTTGAATGGTTTTGAAGTATGTTTTCTGGTGGCGATTTGGTGTTGCTTTACTTCGATGGCAGATGTGGTGGTTTTCCGGTTGGTAAATAAAATAATTAAAATTTAAAAGATTTAATATGATTGTTAAAAAAATAGATACCATATATTTCGAGACTGCTATTAGGGTAAGATGTTTTACTTTGAAAATGTGAATTGAAGTTGATTTGCTACTAATAAATCAAATAAATGATATAAATTATAGAAAAATATTGTATATCAAATATATATGTTAGAAAAGAGTCATGTGACATTTTTATATTTTATTTATTAGAAAATATAGATGTAGATTGTATTTCATATTCGTAGGTATACGATATCCTATTTTATGATTTTAATATGTTAAAATTACATGTTCAAAATTTTCATTCCATAAAATACGATCAAAAACTCACCCAAAAAAAAAAAACTATCAATTTCTAACAACATTAACAAACTTAATATCTAGCAATAATACATAAATATAATCATCACCGTATAAATTTTGGAATATCTTAATGTTGTGATAAATTAATCTAGATCAATGATATAAAGAATACCAAGAGTCTCATTCATCTATTTTATTGATCCCCAGCATTATTTTATCAAGTTGAGTACTTGCTAAGCAAAAATTATTAAAAATAAAATAATGAAATTATAAATCTTATAAAAGTCTAAATTGTGTGGATAAGGCAAGTGGTATTGGCCATGCGATCGAGTAATCAGGCAAATGTAGCCCTAATATCATAATCATTACAAACCCAACAAATTTTTTTTTAGAGAAAAATCTCATAGCTAGTGTCATAACCATTTATCCGATCCAAAACACATCCCAAAAAATTTAAATTTAGTTTATTTTTGTCATCGTTATATTTAATGTTTATTATATATTAATAAGATTCTTATTTAATGTATCATAACAATATATTTTTCAATAATATTAGTCTGGTTTTATTTATTTTATAGTTTAGTCTCTATGTTACGTCAAAAGTTATAGTTTTATTCAAAGTTTTTCATTTGTTGTAGAGGTATCACTAAAATTTGATTTTGTTTCGACACTCTTGTTTGCACTTAACTTGATGTACACTAAGGTGTTTGAGATTTTGCTTATTTAAAGTTTATTTGTAAATAAGTTTATTAGTTTATTCGGAGTCAATAGAGTTTAAAAAATACTTAGATTAGCTTATCTGGTTTCAAAGAAAATAAATTGATAAATTATTTTTACTGTTTGGCAAACTCCAATTTTATATATAATAATAGAATAATTTATAAGAAAAAAAAACTGTTTAAATAGGCTAATATGTAAGTATGGAGTGAATTACCAAAAAAAAATAATAATAAATAAAATAAATAAAATAAATAAAATAAAATAAAAACTCATTATTTAAGTCAATAACTGTTTAAATAGGCTAACACGAAAGAAACAAAATAATTCTTTTTTCTTCATTATTACAATAAGTTAACTGAATATGATATTTCTTACCAATTTCCCTATCTTGATTTCAACTGTAAAGACAAAATGACATCAACCAATGAAACCTATGTAAGATATACAACTAATAGAAGTACAATGGCTTATACAAATAGACAAACTCTAAAACACATGAAAAAGTAGTTGTTCTTTTATTACGTGCATCCTACTTTAAGGTCCAAGAAATGTCATAACCTAAAAAGAACAAATGATGTGAGATTAAACATCCAATTTAAATAAGAAAATAAATATATTGTGAACATGTTTTCCCATTTGAGGAGATATGACTACATAAAGCTTTGATTGTTCCACAATTTTTATACATAAGATCCCTATGTCTACCAATAGTTTCACAAAAGGAACTCCAGTCTTCCAAAACAATTCAGTATTATTTGCATAACATATTAACCTAATAATATAACATGTTGGATTCAATAAAAACTAATATGATATCTCTGTATATCACAAAATTACGTATTTACCATTTACAGCAGGTGCACAGTGAAGTCTACAATGATCAGATCAGGATGTTGAAGTAAAGATGCTAAAGTGGTTTCTCTTTCATAAGGACCATGAAAATTATCTTACCAACATCTTGTTGAATCCTGACTCATCTTCCCCATACAACTACTGACCTACAATAATAAGGAATTAGATAAAGAATTTTTTTATATTTAAATGGAAATGGGAGTGAAAAAGGAAGCGTTAGAGTTGAATTTGTAAGAATCAGTACATGTAAAATGGTATTTTTATTTCTTTTTCATCCAATAAAAACTCCATAAGGAAACAATTGATTTGATTGGAAATTTGAGTCGGCTTATATAGTTAAATCATAAATGAGTGATGACCTTTGTTGCAGGTTTTGGTTCAGGGAAAGTTCAACTTCAAGTTAAGACCGTTCTGTTGAACCTCATAAGAACGTTCTTCTATTATGCAGAAGAACATAAGAAAAATGTTGATGTGCAATACCCTGAAAGAAATTCTAGTATATCTACAAGAGTCAAATCAATGTGTTGGTGGATGAATCACATAAGCGTATAATAATAGATTAAATTAGGATCAATGGAAGAGTATCCTACAATACAACGAACCTGATCTGACGGGTAGAAATTCGGCACTTGGCGAATTAGGCGGTGTCCGGTTGTGGATTTGAAGAACCCCTGGACATCGTATCAAATCGGTGGCCAAAAATAAAAATTGAATTCCTAATGGTCAATAAGCTGAGAACGCAATCAGAGACCTAATTACCTTTAGGATGAGGCGATTGATAGTAGCAGACATCGAAGAACCACATGAGAGGGTATGAAATTGGTGGAGGTGCAATAGTTGCGAGATTGGTGATCCGATGGTCTGCGGTTGGATAAAGGAGGGGCGGTATACACAAAAAAGTATTGACATCAATTTTCCCCATATTACTTCCACCTGAGATTATAACCGAGGTGCACCAAGGGGGATGCTGGCGAGGAGCGATGGTAGAGGTGGGTATTGTTGGCGGAGGGGTAGAATGGGAGTAGAAGGGTTCTTTCAAACGTACCTTCTAAAAATCAAATGCTTCAATCAGGAGATCCTCTTCAATGCTTTTCAAGATGCTATGAAGAGAGAAAAAAGAAACCACGGAGG